AGTTTAGTACATGTTCTTTTAGATTTCAGCTCATGTTCTATTGTTTTTGCAACATTTAGATCTAGTTCAATAGATTCAAGTTTGATTTAAAAATTTGTTGCCAGTTTCAATTTTCACTTTCCTTAATTGATTCTTGCGATTTTTTTTTAGTTTTTGTTTTGCAATTTGCATTCTCACATTATTCTTTTAGTGTTCTATTAATGTTTAATTCATGTTCATTTAGTTTTATATGATTTAGATTTAAAAAGTTCTGCAACATCTCAATTTTCCATATTTGTTCTTCATTTTCGGTTTTTAACTTACACTTTGAGTTATGCAATAGTTGCTTTACATTTAAACTTCAAACTTGTTCTTGCTTTAGTTATCCACTTGACATTGCAATTTGAAGTTACGATTTTCATGACTGATTTTAGTTTTGTTTAATAGCTTGTTATTTGGTTTGTGATTTTGCTTCTAATTTTCATTCAAATTGATTGCATTTGTTGAATTAATTTATTTTACATTAACATTGTTGTTTCATTTCTTTAAGATTCCTTTGTTTCTAATTGGTTAGTAAAATATGAGTTAGTTTAAGTTAATTATAGTACCTAATTGTTACATGCTTAGTTATATTTTTGGTTCCATTTTTACTTGCTATTTTAATAGCTAGTTAGAATTATATCTTACAATTCGTGCTTTAGTTCAATCCATTTTCCTCTTGTTTTGTTTTGCACAAATTTCAATTTACTTATTTACATTTTGATGCTTATTTGGTTTTAATTTTGTAGTAGTTAGTTTTCACATTTACTCTTTGAATGAACCAAATTTAGAAAGGTGTGAGGATAAAATGTACTTAATTAAAATTTCTTTACCTAATCTTTGTAGATCAATATCTTGGCCTTTCAATCACTATTATTACTTGTATAGCTTGTGTGCTTGTAGTCAACCTAAATCACCAACCTATCTCTAAAAGTTAACAATTTGTCACACTTCAAGTTCCACCACTTAATACGTGGTTCATAACTTTGATGTATCTTCTATGACCTTTGGAGGTAAAAGCTATCTAAAACTAGCAATCTATGTTGTATGGTCACACTTTCACTCAATATAATCTAGTAATCCTTATTGTTGATTCTATTATTTTTCCTCGTAAAAAAAATTCATTTTGACTAGTGTTTGACCCACTCTAAAAGTCACTAAATGTATTTTTTTTCTTAAAACACATATTTAATATAGTTAGATCAAATCTAATAGCAAATTCTAGAATATCTCCCCTGTATCATTTCTTTATCCAAACCATAACTTCCTTGCACTCTCTTAAATTCACTACAATCATTGCCTATGTGACAATTCATGTCTCATCCAATAAACAACTTTTCTTCGTTTGGTATGGCTTACATTATCTCGTCTAAATCTTTCCAAAATTTTTGCTTACTCACTTGATCTAAATCTATTTACAAGGCGTAGACACTAATGACATTTAATAGTTTCCTCTCTTAATATAAGTTTAACACGTAAAATTCTATCTCCCTTTCTTTTAACCTCAACTACATCATCTTTCAAATTCTTATCTACAATTATGCCCTCCATTTCCATTCATATCTTTACTTGTCTAACAAAGCTTAAAGCCCCATGTTTCTATCTTTTATACCTTTTTCCTAGCCCATTTAATTTCTTAATGACACATAATATTAAATTTTCTCTTAGTCATGATCTCTCCAATCTCTACTAACTTACCAATTAACGATCATATATTTCAAATAGCTAAGTGTAAGTTACCTCATGGACTAGCTTATTTATTCATGTTCGTCCACTAAAACATAAAAACCCTTGCCTATTTAATACCACAACTGAACGGCGGTGTGGCACCTCATTCTAGGTGATGACCTAATAATCCTTACCAATTTAACACTACACCTCGAGTTTCGATGTAGTGCGTTCGTTAGAAGACGATGGCCACAACAAAAATTTTTTATTTTAATATCTCATTATGATTTGACTAAATTTTAGGTTTGATCATCATCCTAGCACAACCCTCCTTACTTTATTTGAATTTGAGACCAGTGGTGTGACATAAAATTTAATACATTTTAACTTTTGAAATTCTTTTGTATTGATCAAATTTTGGTTTACAAAAAATAAAACCTTTTTAACGATTGAACTAACTTCTACGTATAAATTTGAAATACCTCTTGGATATTAAATACAACATATATAATAAACGGGGAAGACAAGCACAAAAGTCAAGTTATTAGGCAAGAAGTAGGAATATGTTTCAAGTATTGGGATTGGATTTCCCCTTTTCTATGATATCATATATTGATGACTATTCAATCGGGTTATTTGTCATCTCCTGCTGTTGTATTTATATAACTCTTAATGAGTCAAAGTATCATATATAAAAATCATACGAATAGCCTAATTTGATGAAATCCATTCTCATCTTTGACTAAATCTTTTCTTCATATTAATATTACTACTATATCCGAACCAAGATGTTATTATTTACACCGATATAAGTTTATACTTTTTTTGTATTTTGGATAAAAATAGTTAAGAATCATAAATATTTTTTAAGTTAATTCAAAGATAAATAAATATATATATAACACTTACACGGATGCAAATGAATTTTTACTTATATATATTGTAAAAATAAGATTTTAAAAAATATAATTTATTTTTTGTAATTAAAAAAGGATGTGTTTTAAAATCTCATTTTCAAAACAATTTATAAGGAGTTGGTTAGGCTAATTGAAAGTGATGGTTTGAGGGTGATCCACGGGTTTTATAAGGAGGAAGACCCATGTTAAAAAAAAAAAAAACAAATAAATAAAAGACAAAATTGTTGACAATTGATGTGGGAGAAAATTTTATTTGGCGACTAATTGTTTTTTATCATGCAAATAAAAAAGATCCTTTCATTATTATTTTAATTAAAAAATAGCCGGCGGCTTGAATATAAAAATAAATAATTGTATTAAAGAAGTACAAACTGTATTATACAAACTTTTTTCATTAGAGAATAATATCTATGATTTTACTTTTATACAAAATAATTATATTAGATTTTGTATTTACATTTGAGTCAATTAATCATTTCGTTCAATTATAATTTTACTTTTATCATTATGATATATCTTTTCTTTTTTAAAAAAATTACAATATCCAGGTTAATTTCAATTATACTTTTTTATTTGGGATAAAAAAATTCAAATTTTAGTTTTTTTTTTTTAAATCAATCATTAATCATTAAAATAAATGTTGGATGCAATTTAAACCATAATTAATGTTGGAAAAATAATTAATGTTGCCTCTTACACCTAAAAAATGATAGTGGCCATCTGCATTCTAACCATTGAACTTAGTGGAGTTAATTACAATATATGTCAACTCTACAATTACATGGTCACCTCACCAATTTGCATAAAGAAGATTATCAAAATGTGGTTGGCCCAACCATCAATTAAGCTTAATTCCTTGCAATGATTATTGTTACTTTGAATTTTATAGTCTCCACCCACTGATTTCACAATTTATATGCGTAGAGTTTTTTCTACTGAAATATATATAACATGATATTACAGACTTGCCATTTTGGTAGTAGAGTTTTTTCTACTGAAATATATATATCATGATATTACAGACTTGCCATTTTGGTAGTAGAGTTTTTTCACTATATATATATATATTTTTATTTTTTTTTTCTCTCTAACTATGTAGCACTTTGACATTATATCAATCAGTGATACTATTTAATATTCAGATTAAAATAATTTGATAGATTAATTTGAAATAACAAAACAAAAATAAATGATTAATCCTTCTTCTACGTTATGATTAGAACAAATAATTTTCACCAAGGTAACATGCAGGGACGAATTCAGAATTGATCTTCAGTGGAGACAAATTTTCTTAATGGAAATAAAGTTTATATAGTATATAATTTTATATAATTTATTAAAATAAAATAAAATTAGAATAAATTCTTTTAACTTGCCAAGCATTGTATTTCTTACTTTATTTTCTATTTTAATGTGTTGGAAACATTATATTATGAAAAAAAAGAAAAAGGAAGACATGTGTAATCAAATAACTTTACTTGTTATTACTCAATTATTATGTTCAAAAAAAAAAAATTCTTTCATATAGGGTATATCTCATATTTTAGCATACTAAGGCTCCATTTTAATTGGTAGATTTTTTTTATTTTTTTTAATATTAAGGTTTTGAGGTTTTCTGAATTAAATTTATCATTAAATTTAAAAATATAATATTTTTACAAATAAAAATAAAAAATAATTCAGTTCAAACTTGAAATTATATATATATATATATATATATATATGCAAGGAGATTTTAAAAGTCATTTTTAAACAAAAAGACACGTTGACTAGAAGAGGAACCAATAGGAGTAGAAAACAAATACAGAGCATAAAACCAATGCTGACTCATATTGTCTGTCATATGTCACAATTTTAGAACTTTATGGATGAAAATAGTATATAGTTATATATATACATAACGTAAAAGAATAAAAAAATTTCTTAAATAAAAATTTAATAATAATTTAAATTTTTGATATTTTATTATAATTAATTAAATTTTTTATTTTTTATTTCAAAAAAAATTAAATTTATAAATATCTATTTTTATTTAATTAAAATTTTAAGTATTTTTTAATTTATTTAATTTTTAATTGAATAAAATAATTAATAATTTTTTATGACTCGATGAAAATAAATATTTATAAATTTAATTAATTAAAAAATAACAAAAATTTAAATAATTATTAAATTTTAATTCCAAAGGTTTTTTTTTTTTTCTTTTTGTCATATATGGAAAAATGTAGTTTAAATTCTATATTTGTACGACGAAATAGTATCCACAGAAATACATGCGTTAGATCAGGAATGATGGGGCTGGCATATTCCTGCCAATTTGCTTATGTGGAACAGTATCTTTGGCCTTTTTAACGTGCATTTCCTTTTTCTTTGAGAAGATCAGTGGTGGTCATTTGCTTAAAAAAATTAGCTCCAACACAACAAACTACTGCTTCTATCCATTTACTGGTTTCAATTAATTGCCCAACACCCAAAATTTCATACATCTTTCACTCATCTTTCCCAACCCTCTCAGCTGGTTCAAAACCAAACCAGAAACGAAAACAAAGAGTGACCCAAAGACATAATTGGACTGCTCTTTCAACATGGCGGGTGTTCTTCTTTGGGTGATAACTCCCAAAGAGAATGCCACCGCTTTACTTAGATTCATACCAAGAAGTGGGAAACAGAAGGGGTCTAGGTTGTGTCCAGGACTGAAGTTTTCAACTGGGGTCTCAGCAGCCTTATCAAGTGCAGTCGCTAATCCGGCGAGATCCTCAGAGCAGAAGGTCTATGAGGTGGTGTTGAAGCAGGCTGCTTTGGTCAAAGAACAGAGGCAAAAGAAAGCTTTGGATTTGAAAAGAACTGCCTAAACTGATGGTTTGACAGATTGGGATCTCTTGAATGAAGCTTATGATCGGTGTGGTGAAGTTTGTGCTGAGTATGCTAAACTTTCTACTTGGGTAGTTGCTCTTGAGCCCCCTCTTTTTCTACTTTTGCTTTTACCGTTTTGCAGTAAAATTCTTGTGATCATTAGGTACTTCACTTTGTTTTCTTTCTTCTTTTTTTTGTTGTGGTCAATTCATTTTAAAAAGTATTAGTTGAATGTTTGTCAACATATAAAATTTTAGATCTTACTTTTGTAATAGTTTATGATCGCATTATATTATAGTTTTAAAAGTTCACAAATGGTTCAATCCTTTCATTATTATTATATTATTATTATTATTATTATTATTATTATACAATACTTTTATTTTTCTCCTAGGATTAGGCTGTTTGGTTGCGAGAAATGGCAGAAAAATCCAAAAAAGTTTTAATATTTTTCCTTTCACCTTTCCATCCTCATATATACTGCAAAGATTTTCATGGTCGCTCTTTTTCATTGTAACATCTATTACCAATGTACAGTCAAGAATGCTTGGTTTTAACTATGTAGCAAAAAAATAGTTGTGGGAGCATTACCCGTGATAGTTCTCACATTAAAAGCCAACAAGTTCCATCTCATTGGTAGGTTTCCTGTCCAACTGAAAATAATGTTGTATTTTAAGTAGTAATGGTACTTTATTTGTTCAAAATTATAGATTTTCTAAATGACCACTCGTCAGGGATAACAAGAACATCGAAATTTTCATATTCACAAATGTCCTGTTGTTCTTTGCAGGTACTATACTTATGACGCCAGGAGCGTCGGAGAGCTGTTGGTGGGCAATTTTACTGGTATGTATGATTGGTTTTTTTTTTTTTTTTCTATCAAAGGATGGGTCCGCAGTTGGGAATAAGGAAAAAGGGTCGTAATTATTAAGATTTGAATCCTGGCCGATGCCACTTTTTAAAAGTGGCTGCACATGCCAATTAAGCCTAAGTTTCTGGGTTCATGAATGGTCGCATTACCGTCTTTTAAGTCCGTTTCAAAAGTGATTCCTCTTTGTCATGGGTTTGTGGTACATACATGAATTTGGACCTTCCCTGCTTTTTGTGGGGCAAATGATAAACACTGGTTTTTAGGTGTTTTAGGGATGCATCTTTACCATGGCCAATAGCAAAAGTCACAGTTAAGGGATTTTTGTTTGGTCTTCAAAAATTGTGACAATTCTGATTCTTTGTATAAATGTAGATAGGTTAGTAAAAAGAATTGCAATCAACAACATCCGGTGAATAATTTAAGCTGTGTCGACGTCCTTTGGCTGGATGGATGTTTCACAGTTGTAATCAATATATCCCTCTATTGTGCAGTGTGGTGTCGGAGGACTGATGAGCTTGTGGATGGACCTAATGCTTTACACATTACGCCCAGGGCTCTTGACAGATGGGAGAAAAGATTAGATGACCTTTTCGAAGGTCGTCCGTATGATATGCTTGATGCTGCTTTGTCTGATACTGTCTCAAAGTACCCTGTAGACATACAGGTTTTGTTGCATTTACACAGCTAAAGACTCGGATATTTTGCATCTCAGCTATAAAATCCTTGTGCTGAAACTAAATCAACCATGAATTCATCTCTTTGTGCAGCCCTTCAAGGACATGATAGAGGGAATGAGGTTAGATTTGAGGAAATCAAGATATAAGAACTTTGATGAGCTTTACCTTTATTGCTACTATGTTGCTGGGACAGTTGGACTAATGACTGTCCCAGTAATGGGGATTGCACATGAATCGAAGGCATCGACAGAGAGCGTCTACAACGCGGCATTAGCCCTTGGAATTGCTAATCAGCTTACTAATATACTAAGAGATGTTGGGGAAGAGTAAGTCCAATTCTACCAAAATTTTTTACTTTATGAACTCTTAAGTGTTTTCACATGACACACGCCTCTCTGGTTTGAATTTCCCTAGTGCTAGGAGAGGAAGAATATATCTACCACAAGATGAATTGGCACAAGCCAGCCTATCAGACGATGACATATTTCGCGGACAAGTGACAGACAAGTGGAGAAATTTTATGAAAGATCAAATAAAACGAGCAAGGATGTTCTTTGATGAGGCTGAAAAAGGTGTTGCAGAGCTAAATGCTGCTAGCAGATGGCCAGTGTGGGCATCACTGTTGCTATATCGACAGATCTTAGATGCCATTGAAGAAAATGACTATAACAATTTCACCAAAAGAGCTTATGTAGGGAAAGCAAAGAAATTTGCATCACTCCCAGTGGCCTACGGAAGAGCACTTACGGGTACTTCCAAGTAGTTATGAGTTTTTTTTTTTTTTTTTTTTTTTTTTTTTTTTTTTTTATGGCTATTTATTTTGACTTGTTACAATGCAGCCAGTCATTGGTCTGTAAATTGCTTTATTGATTTCGTTGCTGAAATTAAG